CCTGGTCCTTCTGACCTTGCTGCCAGGGATCCCCGTCCCGCGCTGCCTCCGCTCCCCGACTCACTCTGCCCTCATTGGCTCAGGGCTGGCAGCTGCGGGGACAGAGCTGAGCAGACACAGAGAAAAAGAGAAGTTGACGGTCTGAGAGGCGTGTGGGCTGCGGAGGAACTGAAAGCACCTGGGGATCCTGGGCCCCTCGTCTCGCTGCCCTGACGCCCGCCAGAGCCCGGATCCCCCTTCCCCTGCCGGGATGCTGCTCCCTCTGCTGCTCCTCCCCTGGGCATGGGGGGCCCTGGCCGGTAAGTGGGGACCCCCCCTGCTGTTTTTGCTGCCAGGATGCGTGGGGATGGTGTAATACTACGGCCAGGGTGGGGAAGTACCACGCTGGGCTAGTGATCCTGACTGGGGGAGTAGGACGGGGGAGGCAGGTTAGGGATCAGCAGGGTGACCCCGTAGTGCAGGATTGTTTATGGGACAGAGACTCATTAATCTCTCTCCCCACCCGCTTTATCCTCCACTTGTTTCCTGCCCCCTGCCCCAGCCTCCCCTCCTCTCCCACCACCGTCTGTCACCCTCCGGCTGCTCCACATCGATGTCTTCCACAACACCAGCTCCACGGACATGCAGGGGATGGCCCTGCTGGGCAACCTGGAGACCCACTCCCTGGACTGCAGCACCTGCGAGATCCGCTTCCTGCAGCCCTGGGCCCAGCAGGGCCTGACCCCGAAGCAGTGGCAGGACCTGGAGCTGCTGATCCATTATTACCTGTTCGACTTCAACCGGACTGTGAACAGAATAGCCCAGCAGCAGGGAAAGGGCTGTGAGTATGGAGCGGTCTGAGGGGATCCCTCCCCCCACCCACCTGGGGTGCTGAGAACTGACACACTCACCACAGCCACTGAGTGTGTCATTGGGGGCAAGACAGCCAGTCCCTGGCCCTTTGGCTGATTGGAGCCGGCGTCCCCCAGAGGGGAAACACCCATGTCCCATACTCCACCCAGCTCTGGGGCCAGATTGTAGCCTGCACTTCCTAGAGGGGAAAGGCCCCACGTCCCACTCCCTGAGCCGAGGCTCCTGGTCTTTCCTGACATGTACCCTGACCCTTTGAAAAGCAGGTCATTTGGGCGGGGTCTGTATCTCAGCAACCCTGTGACCAAGGGGCCCCAAATTTACACCACAAACTGTGCCTCAGGCACCGATTTAACACAGCGATTTTCCAGCCGATCTGACTATGCACGTGAAAAATCAGCTTTAAACAGAAACTGCAACTTACCCTTAACTCCAACCAGGGCCACCCAACAATCCTGCCACCGTCTTGTGGCCCAACATCCTCATGGCACCTGATGTTATATCTTTATTCCCCCCGGCTCTCTGTTTCTGCCCCCTCCTGTGACCTCCGGACACCCGTCCTCGTCCCCCTGCCCTTCCTGTTCCAGACCCCTTTGTTACCCAGGGCTCCCTCGGCTGCGAGCTGCACCCCAACGGCACCTCGAGGGGATTCTATGATATCGGAGTGAACGGGGAGGACTTCATCAGCTTTGATGCGGTGGCAGGCAAATGGGTCGCTCGGCAGAGGGACAAGCTGGCTCTCTACGTCCGGGAGCGTCTCAACTGGAATAAGGGCGCAGCCATCACGCTTCAGTTTCTCCTGAGAACAACGTGTGTCAATGAGATCAAGAGCTTTGTCCAGTACGGGAAAGAGTCTCTGGAGAGACAAGGTGAGGCTGGACACCACTCGCTGCCATGCAGCCACCTCTGGGGTAGGGTGTGCTTGTTGTTTATACAGGGAACCCGCACCCAGTGCTCATATGCAGCCACCTCTGGGGTTGGGCCAGGGGACTGCTCATACAAAGATCCCTCGCCTGGTACTGACATGCAGCCACATCTGGGGTGGGGCAGGGGGCTGGTTATACATGGCCCCCTTGCCTGGTGTACAAATACGGCTATAGTTGGGGTGCAGCACAGTAGCCATTTCACAGCCGCACTGCACAGCAGTTTAGGACAGGAAGTGAAGGGGGATTTCATCACCACTGGTAACTGCAGGGGGCAGAATTGGGGTCTGGCCAGGACA